TTTGGGGGGCCAGGCAAAACTCCGCGAGGCCTGGCGACAATCCCTCCTCGTGGTGCCTGGACACGGCTCCCACCACGGTGAAAGGCGCGACGGATGAGGATGAAGGTGAGGACAATCTCGTTGCCGCCGTGCACGAGGAATTAAAGTGCCTTGGCGGAGAAGCGCACCTGAAGTGGGATAAGAAGAGGGGAGGCAGAGTCGACTGGGAGCGGTGCACGTCTGGGACGGCGGTTCCGTGGGAGATTCCGCCCTTCGACGCCGACACGGTGACCTGCCCCGGGTTCGATGAGGTGTGCACGATATCCGCCACCGGCGGCAGCGTCCTCACGGGGTTTAAATGGGACGGCAAGGACAAGGAGTGGAAGAGAAAGGCCCCTGTGGAAGAGCCGGAGCCGGAGCCGGCGCCAGCGCCGCCAGTGACGGGCCCTGCTGAGGTTGGGCCCGGCAACGGCCACGAGAACCGGCCCGCGATCCCGCCGCCTTCCGAAGGAAACAACGGCGGAGGCACCGGCGGCAGCAGCGAGCCGGTCGGCGGCGCGCCGTCGACGGGGCAGGGGCTCCCCGCAGCGGACCCGGAGGGCCCGCAGAAGCCCGTGCCCGAGGAGGGCGGGGTTGCGGTGCCGGGGGCAAAGGACAGCGAGGGCGTGCCTCCCGAGAGCAGCCACGGCGGCGGCGGCGGCGGCGGAGGTGTGAGTCCTCCGGCGGGGACACCGCCAGCGGGCGGGGACGCAGCCGACAGGGCCGGTGACGGTGCTGCCACCCCCGCAGGGCCCAACGGCACTGGCGCGGCAGGCAAGAGCGACGCCACGCCTCCGGCCCACGGCGATGGCACTGTGACTGCTGCCGGCCCCTCTCTGCTTTTGCTTCTTGCCGCCGCCGCCGCTGCAGCAGCGCTTTGTTGAGCGGCGGCGGGGATGAGGTTGCACGGCGTGGCGGCTCCGCTCGCCTCCTGCGTGGCCCGCGCTCAGCAGGGCATGAGCGGGAAAAGGACCCCACTTCGATTTATAACCTTCTATACGCGACTGTACGACTGTGCTGTATACACTTTGTTTTCTTTTTTGTTTTTGTTTTCTTTTTCCTTTGGTGTCAAGGACATCTTCTATACACTCCACCCCACTTTGCTTTGCTTGCTTATATGGGAGTTCCTATACAATTTCGTGTTTTTTTCTCGGTTTGCGAATACCAATCGTTTTTGATTTTGTTTTTAAATCTTTCCAATGAACGCTCTGCGGTGGTCGTGTGCGAGGGACCCCGCTTGCATTCCGGGCCTCCCCATTTATTTTGCCTCTGAGACGCTCCCGCCGAAGTTGCGCAGGGGGGAGATGCACCGCAGAAGCCACGGCGGGAGGAGGGCACAAGTAACACACCAAAAGACCCAAACGGTGATGATAATCAGCTAAGTGCTGGCGGCGCACTGCCGGGCAGTGGCGCGGAGCCGGCGAAGGCAGGCATTGTTACGGCCCCGCAAAGCTCAGCCCGCAGAGGGAACGATGAGCAGACGCCTGCAGTGCTGCCGGCAAATGCAGAATCAGAGGGAACCAGTCGAGGTGTGGACGCAGGCAGCCTTTCACCGAAGGTAAAGGGCGGTGTTGAGGAAAAAGGCCCGGATCAAGAAAAAAGCCAAGAAGGTCAAGTTCAAGTAGTCAATGAACAAGAACATCATGATCGACAAAGCAAAGTGGAAGGCCCAGAACGTACAGAAGAGGATGGGGAAGACGCAGAAGAGGAGGATCAAGGAAAAGCCTCATCAGCGACACAACCGGTCGGAGAAGAAGGAGCTCGTCAGCACCAAGTTGCTGCGCAGCATGCGCCAGGAGGAATTCCCGCGGCCACGCCTCTTCCATCTCCCTCCGTCGGCGTCCCCGCGGCTGGAGATCCGACTGCACAGACCAGTGGGGGCGGCGCTGGCACAGGCGCCACGCACCCCGGTCTTGCCGGTGCACCGAAAGACAGTGCAGGGGAAGCAGCGGCGCAGGGCACCGCCAACAACACAAATCGGAACACCGCCACTACGACTGACAGTAAGCAGGGGAGTGGAGTTGCTGGGGTTTCTCCCACGCCCGGCGATTCTGCGCGCGTGAGGGAGCCGCAGGGGACAAGGGCGGAGAGTGCGCCGCTGCGACCAGCAGGCGAGCCCCAAACCGCCCCAGAGGCGCCACGGGCAACGAAAGCAGCGCCGGAAGCCAAAGACAACGCAAGCGCCACGCAGTACACCTCTTCCAGTTCAGCGGGTGGTAGCGTCTGCTCTGGAGCCACGGCAGAGAGCCCGCCTGCCCTCACGATGAGGTGCAAGGCGAAGAAGAGCAGCGGGGTGTACAAGCGGTGGCAGAGCGTAAGCAGGACACCCCGCGACCCACATGCTACTGTTTCGGGCGACGAGGCACATGGCGTGTTGCACACTTGCACCATGCAACCGTCCATTGGAGGCGCAGCTGAAGAGGACGAGGATGCGCCTCGAGGGGGCTCTCAAGAAGGCGCCGGGGGAGCGCAACTGAAAGGGACGCCATAAGTTGGAAAAGGCCTACAGCCGCAGGAAGCGACCGGAGGCGCAGCAGGGCCGCAAGGTGCGCAGCAGTTGACGGGCGAAGCTGGCGCTGCGGGCGAAAAGGACAAAGCCGCGCAGCCGCAGCAGGGGGAAGCCTGCGCGTCGCAGGAGGAAGTGCGGGCGGTGCTGGGCCCGGCCGCGCCGCGGGCCCCCACGGTGAAGCCGCCTGCAGACCCTGCGCCTCAGTCCGCTGGCACCGCACCTGCAGCCGCAGCGGCTTCGAGGGGCTGTCGATGGGCGGCCCGCACGCGGCGTTGAGAGTAAACCGCAGACGGCT